GCCCTGAGGCCTGTGGCGCCCCCCCCCCCCCAAACTCCGAGACTGCCCCAGCAACAGCCAATGCAACGGGCCCAAGCTGCGCAGGCAGCTCCCGGGCCAGCCGCACCAGGCTGCTGCAGAAGTCAGAGGTCACGGAATCTGACTTCCATGACCTCCGTGACCAACACGAGTTTTAACTATATAATTACTTGACTTTATAGTGCATTGTTGTCTACTACTCCTAAGTTTTTTTTTTCCTTAAATAGACAGCATGGGGAGATAATCCATGTCTTTTTACTCTTGGAAATCTTGTCTTAATCAGCACTTGTCTTCAATTTGGACAATACATCATCTCATCTGAACCTGAAAGTTGAAGATTCTTATGTTGAGTGGGATCCTACTGGAGGCAAAGGCCAAGAAAACAAAATAAAAGGAAAAGAGAATAAAGGCAGGTGAGAACTTTAACTCTAAGATCTGTAACCTGAAGTCTTAATTTGAATAAGGTTAACATGTTTAGAGCAGCAAACTATTTTATGGCACTGTTTGCGCTTAAGATACTTAATATATTAGTTTTGAATTGGCATACCATGAGATGCTGATTCCCTGGACCATAGGGTTGAATTAAAGATCCTTAAATAGGGAGTTGTCAGGTATACCTGGCTCATTGGACTATGGACACTGCCCAGGAAGTGAAGGGAGGAAAGTCAGTAGTATTGGTAGCTGGCACACTCCTGCCTCTGTGGGAGTTTACACCAACCAGATGAGTAAGGAGAGATGCAACTGTGGACACCAAAGGAAATTTCATCTAGACATTTCTATTTGGAAGAAACGTTGCTGTGGTATAGGATGGGGAAGGCCCAAGGGAGGGACAAGGCATGTAGTCCCATTGAGAGGAGACACTCAAGTAAGCCACTTTAAATATTTGAAGAGAAGCCAAATCAAGAGTTAGAATTTCTTGAATCTAAAACTTTAACACCTAAAAATCTTCTTTTGTGAATTCAAGGAGTTATGTAATGTGGCCCAAGTCAAATAGAGTAAGCCATCTCCAGTTACTTCACTATTGGACAGTAATTGTCATAGCTTCAGGTCTGACGCACTTAGATACGGTAGAACCACCAGTTCGAAGAATGAAAGACTGAGTCAATCTTGCTAATACTGTATTGTAGATGGATGGAGTTTGATAAAACAAAAGAAAAAACAGCATAAAGAGAACCAATCCATGGCCCTTTTTTGAAAGAGTAGAGGGTGTATTGGCATACCCTGAAAAGCTGTCCTTGACACACATTTCCATCTCTATAGTCCTGCTACATTCTTTGCATCAGTTGTCTGCCAAACTGCTGTTCTCAACCATGGAGTTAAGTTGCTTTCCATGGTACTGTATGAATATCTTTTTTTTTTTTTTTTTTTAAGTACTCTAGACCAGTGGTTCTCCACCTTTCCAGACTACTGTACCCCTTTCAGGAGTCTGATATTTTTTGTCTTGTGTACCCCAATTTCACCTCAACTACTTGTGTACAAAATCAGATTTAAAAGGACACAAGTGTTACAGCATACTAATACTGAAAAATTACTTGGTTTCTCATGTTTACCATATAATTATATTCCAATCAACTTATTTTATACTTCTTAGTGTATAGTGTATATAGAATAGTATAAACTAGTCATTGTCTGTATGAAATTTTAGTTGGTACTGACTTCGCTAGTGCTTTTTATGTAATCTGTTGTAAAACTAGGCAAATATCTCGATGAGTTGATGTACCCCCTAGAGATACACATACCCCTGGTTGAGAACCACTGCTCTAGACTTTCAAGGTTGAGGTCAGCTCAAACACACTGGGTAAGGGAAAGGGGGAAGGGACCAAGTCTCCTACCTGAGTAGTCTTGAGTCTATTCATGCACTAGCCTTAAAATTATATAAGATCTGTCATACCTAGAGGTGGTGTATATCTACTCCATAGAGGTGTTTTGGCTGCTCTTAACTGCCTGTCAGTTTATCACTGCTGATGAGGCATTCCCCATGACTGTCAGCTATTTCAACTTCTAAACTTACTATCTTGCATCAGATATGGTATGGACAGTAAGGGATGAAATGGGTAACCAGCCACTTAATTAAAAAATGGAATGAACTTCACATAATAGGAGGTAGTTCAAGTTTGGGCTGCCTCATGGAACCATAGTTGATGGATGAAGGAGAAAGGATACTGATATTTCTAAACTATTATCAGTGAGGATACCAAGATCTTTTGATAGCAAATTGAGTAAAATATTCTGTGAAAGTTAAAGGAGGGCTGTGCAATAAAGATTGTAGCCTTTACTAAAGTTTAAGCTTTACCAGAAGGCCAAATCTAGAGAAAAGAAGAACTTAATTAAATATCATATATAAAAGTTGCACTTAGTCAAGACTTATTTGTATAATTATGAACATCTAATGTGACACACATTCAGTTACCTAACATTAAAACAATAAATGCCTTCCTGGCTGATGGTGGTTGCCAGTGGTGTGAACAGTTTTGAAAGGCTGTTAAGATTTGTCTCTAAAGTTAATGTGTACAATTTTTAGTAGTGACATCTTTTAATCATTGCTTATTTCTGTCTGACAGTGGCCAGATTACTGTACTGAAGAACAATACAAGGTGATAACTTATGACTTTTCTAGTTCTAGGATCTAGCCTCTAGCTTTGCTGAAAATCTTCAGAATTTTCCTTTTTAATCCTTGCTCTTTCTCTAGATAAAACATGAGCCCATCCAACAGCCTTCATCAGTAACCAAGACAGTACCTTTTTGTTTTTGTTTTGTTTGGTCTGCTTTTATTTAATGGTTTAGTAATCTAATCTTCATCCATGGGGAAGGTTGATGCAGTCCCCATTCTCAGGAGAACAGCCTGTTACCCTAAGAGTGGGATATGCCATAACTCCTTTGAATCAAATGGAGCTGTACATGCTCAAGTTTCAATACAATCTAACATTGTTAATTTATATTACTATTGTGACTAGAAGCGCCAGTCATGGACCAGGACCCCCTTGTGCTAAGCACCGAACAGACACCAAACAAGAAAGTCCCTGCTCCAAACAGCTTACAATCTTTAGTTCTTCTTCGAGTGCTTGTTCATGTCAATTCCAGTCAGGTATGCACGCGCTGCGTGCACGACAGCCAGAAGATTTTTTTTCTTCTAGCTCCGGCACTGTCGAGGTGCGAGCTGGTCCCGAGGAAGGACTCTGCTAGATACCCTCGGCACCGTCATGGCTCCGCCCACAGGTCCCACTCTCCAGTGCCCCTCAAAAGGAAAGGCCAACAGAGGGCACTCCCCAACCAGGTCTAAAGACCAGTTGGCCAGCAAGCCCCCATCGGGCACCCATTTGGTGGGGATTCCATCACCTCCTGCCCCGGGACAAGTCCAGTTGAGTCCGGCTCTCACCACTCACTGGCCCACCACCACAAGGACCTATAGCTCCCCTCCACGCCAGTGGCGTTCGAGGTGGCAGTGGACTTTTGGCACAGCGCCACCTTCAACTCCTAGGCGGGTGAGGTTGCTGGCACCAGTTACAGGTACCGTACATCTATGGGCAAACCAGCGATGATGTCGGCCATAAGACCACTGTCTCCGTTGCATCGTCCTGTGGCACTGGCGACCCATGTGGAGGAGCCACTCCAATCCCCCAGTTGGCACCGCTCTCCAGCATCAAGGGGCTCCGCTTCTCTGTGGTCCTCACAGTCAGAGACCTCTGAGTTGGAAGCGGAGGCGTTGCGCTCTATTAGGAGCAGAAGATCCTGCTCCCGCTGCGACTGACAGCCGTACCTGGCGCCATGGCTGAACCAGTGGCAGGCCCCTCAATGGCCCTTCTGGACACCCTGGGCCTATCACCAGAGCCAGGGTTCCAGATTGACATTGGTGGCCTCAGCTTCTTTTGCGCAGCCGCATAAGCCCTCCACGCTGGGCATCCCGGCAGGGACCCATCCGCCAGCGTCGACTGTCTCTGCTTCAACATCAATGACCGCAGCACTGATTGTGCCACTGGTGACGGGGGCGTGGGTTGCTGCACCGCCCTCAACACTGATCACTAAACTGACTGATGTTGGAGGCACCAGCCGCAGCACCGGTTCTCCTCGCCCCCAGGGGAGCCAAAGGCAGGGAACAGGCCCCAGTACTGGCCACCATCTCATCCTCCTCGTTGCCGGATGAGGTGGTGGCGGGTTCCTCAACCGCTCTGGCCTTAGAGGACAGTAAGGTCTTTCAGCAGCTTCTGAGACAAGTGGCCCAGAACCTTAATATCAAAATGGAGGAGGTGGTCTAGGAAGCGGACCCAGTGGTCGACATCCTCTCCCCTTCCCGGCCATCCCCTATTGGGCTGGTGATGATCAAAATGATCAGCGATGCCATTAAGACTGTGGCAGACCCCATCCTTGTTGCCACTGACCATGAAAAGGTACAAGCGGAGGTACTTTGTTCCCTCTCAAAGGTATGAACATTTGTATACACAAACTCACCTTTCTCCCAGACTCCCTGGTAGTGGATGCAGCTAACCAGCACAAGCACCAGGGCTTCCAGGGGTCCTCTCTCAAGAACTGTGAGGCCAAAAAAATCACCTCTTTGGTAGAAAAATGTACTCTACGAGTGGTTGCAGTTTCGTATTGCTAACCATCAGGCAGTGGTTAGCAGATACAACTATACTACCTGTGGCGCAATGGTAAAGTTCAGAGCTCCTGCCTACAGACTCTCTCGTGCAGAGTTTTCCGCACTTGTCGAGGAAGGCAAACTGCTTTCCCATGTGTCCCTGCAGGTGGCCTTGGATGCAGCGGATGCAGCCTCTCACACCATGGCTTCAGGGGTGGCTATGAGAAGGAGTTCCTGGATGCAAGTCTCAGGCCTACCATATGAGATGCAGCAGACAATTCAGGATATCCCCTTCGAGGGTCAGTCTTTGTTTTCAGAGAAGACTGACTCTCATCTGCACAGCCTCAAGGACTCTCCGGCCACCTTGAAGTCCATGGGCCTCCACACCCCTGCCAACCAGTGGAGGTACTTCAAATCCCGGTTCCCCCCACCCCACCGAGGAATTATCAAGCTCAGGGTAGGCCAGACAGGTGGTGCAGAGGAATAGGAACTCAAGGAAGAGACCTCACCCCTCCTCTGGCCAGTCTAAACCCCTCGTCAGGCTCAAAACAGGCATCCCGCCTTACCTTTTCGTCCTGTCTATCCCCTTTCTACTATGTGTGGTACCATTACATTGGACCACTGGGTACTCCGCATGGTAGAGAGGGGATAGTCACTCCAATTCTCTACCCTTCCACCCCCTTCCCCATCCCTCTTCAAGGACCCTTCTTATGAGCAACTCCTTATTCAGGAGGTGCAATCGCTCCTCTTGCTTGGGGCAGTGGAATAGGTTCTTCAGGAGCAGAAGGGCAAGGGCTTCTATTCCCAGTATTTCCTAATACCGAAAGCCAAAGGCGGGCTCAGGGCCATCCTAGACCTGCGAGAGCTTAACAAGTTCATGAAGAAACTCAAGTTCTGCATGATCTCCTTGGCTTCTGTTATCCCTTCCTTGGATCCAGGGGACTGGTATGCCGCTCTCAACTTGAAGTATGTGTACTTTCATATAGCAATCACACCGTCCCACAGAAAATACCTCAGGTTTGTGGTGCACAACAACCACTTCCAGTTCAGTCCTCCCGTTCGGCCTGTCAGCGGCGCCTCGAGTATTTACCAAATGCATGGCGGGCGTGGCCACATTTCTGCACAGGCGCCAGGTACAGGTGGTGTTCTTCTAACTGGAATTGATATGAGCAATCACTCGGGGTGCATGCGCACCGCATGCACAGATGTCGGAAACTTTTACCCAAGCAGCTACCCGTTGGGCTGGCTGGGGAGCCCCCTGGAGTGGCGCCGATATGGCGATCCATATAAGCCCCTGCTGGCCCGACCCCTCCTCCCCCCTTCAGTTCCTTCTTCCCGTCTGTGACGGTTGTTGGAACAGTGGTCTCTTGGTTTCCCAAGTGCTCCACTAATCCCTAGCATATCTCAATCGTTGTTAGTTAATTGTTAAGAAAACTCTTAACACTAACTATTATCTGTAGTGTTAAGTAGTTAATTGCTGAGGGCAGTTTAGCGCTCTTCAACTGCCCTGCGGGGCCCTGGGGCATGCCGTCCCAGGGCTTCAAGCCTTGCAAGTCTTGCAACAAACCCATGCCTACGGGCGACCCCCACGACTCCTGCCTTAGGTGTCTGGGGGAGGGCCATCAGGCTGACAAGTGTAAGATCTGTAAGGCGTTCAAGCCACCGACAAGAAAGGAGAGGGAGATTTGCCTTAAACAACTCCTTATGGAGTCTGCGTTGCGGCCTTCCCAAGATGCGGGCCTGAGTGCCTCGGTGTGCAGTGCTCCCACAGCGGTGCCGATTCCAGCACCGCAGAAGATCCCACGCCCACCTCGGGACCGACGATCTCCCGGGACCCAGAAACGCCCGCATCGGCACCATTCCCATTCCCCAGTTACAGGAAAAAAGCAAGATCTGGGAAGACCTCCCGTCCAAGTCGATGCAGTTGTTCAAGCTCCGATCGAATAACAGGGCAGCCCAACACAGGTTGCAGTTCAAGTGGAGGAGATTATCTTGCCCTCCACTCCGGATACCTTCGAGGCCACTAGGGGCCTCATCGAGAGGACAGCCCCGGTACCCAGGGCCCGGCACCGACCCGAGTTCCGGTACCTTCCAAAGGCAAGCCGGCGATGTTTGGACTGTTGGCCCATAGACCATCATCTCCATGCCGTTCCGAGTCCCGGCACCACTCCAGGTACTGGTCTGACTCACGGCACCGGTTAGACTCGCGGCACTGGTCTCGCAGCCCCGACCCTTGGAGCCGCTCCCGCTCAAGGTCGCGGTCGACTGCTGGAACATGATCCCACTCGAGGTCCGGATTCCGCCAAGGGACCTCACGGCACCGTACAGACCGCCGCCGCACAGAACACCGATCCCAGAGTCGACTGTCGCCTCAGCACCGGTCCACGGCCCGTTACTGCTCCCCTTCGCGGCACCGATCATCTGAGTGGCGCTATTCCCCAGCGCGGCACTGGTCACTCGATCGGCACTGTTCCCCAGCACGATCCGCTTCCTGGCGGCGGTCACCCCATGATCCGTGGCTACCAAGGGGTTCGGTGCCCCCGCTACTACACTCGCGCACTGCCCCTCTTTGGCCATCGTGATCTCAATCCCCTTCTGGGAGGTCGGGAAGAGCTTCGGGGGCTTCAGACATTTCCCCGGTCAGGCCTGGGAAGCCTGGGGCAGAACCCCCCCAGTGACCACTTGGCAGCCTCAGTGGCAATTTTGGACCCCCTGGGCATACCACCAAGCACAAGGTGCCCCCCTAGGGGCCCAGCCGTTGCCGCGTTCGAACACCTGTCCTCCTGAGGCATCCCTCAGCCGTCCTCCTCTGGACTCGGACCTACCTGAGCAGTCGGCACCCATGATAGAGACTACCCCAGGGGCTCCAGAGGAGATGCCTGCGACTGACCCAGAGCCTGTCCCCGACCTGGCTCTCCTGGTGGAGTCGTCCTCATTCTCCTCTGATGAGGCAGTGGCTGGCACATCGTCTGGTCCACCCCTCATGGACTTTAGGGCCCTTCAAGAACTGTTGAGGCATGT